GTGTGTGTTTGTGTCTTTTTTGTTTTTGTGTGTGTGTGTGTGTATTTTTGTATGGTGTGTGTATGTGTGTGTTTATATGTATATATATATATATGTATGTATGTATATGTATATGTGTATGTGTATGTGTATATATGTGTGTGTGTGAGAGTGTGTAGGTGTGTGTGTGTGTGTGTGTGTGTGTAGGTGTGTGTGTGCGTGTGTGCGCGCGTGTGTGTGTGTGTGTGAGTGTTATTTACTGGCAGGCATAATAAACTGTGTTATATTGGAAGGATAGACTCAGAAACGCGCTCCCGGTTGGGTAGGTAGCTCGGTATCTCCATGTGTGGGGTTCAATTCGTCACTCGCGTAATACGGCAGAGGTCAGCGTACATTGGAAACAAGATCGCAGTTATCGTCAGGGCATTGTTTCTTCTATGTCGATATATCCACCAAATTTTCAGTGTCCAGTTGATCTTTCAGTTACTTTGCTAATTTCAGCACTGCACCTGCATGTGTGTTTGATTGAGAGTCTGTATTCGACAACTCACTGAGCATTATACTGTTCCCACTGATACAGATTCTGAGCAACGAGAAGCTTCGACAGAGTTATGACGAAGGTAACGGACCCGCCCCAAACGATCTGAGTTTCGATGCTGAGCAAATGCTCAGAGAATTTGAAAAGGCCTTCAACAAGGTGCGTTTGTAAAGATCTGAGAGATGGTGTACATCACGCATGTGTGTGCTGTATTGCAGAGAACGGCTCAGTACGTTTGTATGAGTTCTACGATGTGCCTTTCCTTGTCATTTTGTCTTGCTGTGTCTTGTTTTTTCACGTGTGCATGCACAGAGTATGCCCTGTATTGATGAGAAAAAGCGCGGAATATTGAAAAGCGGGTGAACACGTTTAAACCGGCTAAGATCGACGGTGGAGGGGTACCGTAGGCGTGGGAAAACATGCAATAGCGTCGTGGCCCTTTATGCAGTATGAGTGACAGGCTTGTCATGGCGCTACAGCGATAGTGTCCTTTGGCTAAGTTGTAGAAGGTATCTTAGTGCTAGTTGTTGCCAGTGTGTAGTAGCTTATACGCAATGAATTAAGTTATCGCCTTCCCTTGAGCTAGCTAGTAGGACCTTTTCTTATCCAAGAGCACTCTTCGTATTGTCTGTACCAACCGTCCCGATCCACATCTTTCTAACACACAGGAGGGCAAAATAGAATCCAACAGAAGGCCGGTGACCATACCCATACAACTCAATTTTCTCGCTGCAGTGAAGGGGTGTGAGGTAGATGTGTCCTATAGACTCAAGGAGAAGTGCGTACCATGCAAAGGCTCCGGGGCTACGGCTGGGAGCCCTGCGCACGTGGTGTGTTCTAAGTGTGGCGGCGGGGGACTGGTGATGATGCCTGCTTTCTTCATACTCGAGGCGCATGAGATTGACTGTCCGAAATGTAAGTGTGGTTATACGTGTGTGTGTGTGTGTGTGGATCAGGTCGATTGTTTCCTGCCACGGCGGCTGTCTGGTTGCTCTTGGTAGAGGGTTAGTCTTCGGCGAGGCATCCTACTACACCTGTGAAGTGAGTATTTGGCCACTCTCAGTGGTTGGTTGGCAAATGAGCGAAGACTATTCACATGATGTAAATGGGCGTCTGACAACAATTGTAGCGAACGAGATAGTGAGGCTGCAGTTGTATATCTTCTTGTTTCATCTTTTCGTGATGTCAGCTCCCATCAGAGAAGGTGTATGTACCAGTGGTTATCAAGTGTTTCTCGGTTGGGAACTGGGCGCCCTCGGTCGTCGGTTGTGGGGGTGCTTCCTGGTGTTTGCGTCCTTATCGGCAGCTTTTGGCTGGGAGTACATTGAGATAATGTCATCGTGATTTCGGGTCAATGCGGATTTAAAACTCTGTCTTTGCGGGCTCTCCGGTGGCTCTGCACTGTCCTCATTTGGTCCAAACTCGGCTGTGTTTATAAATCAAATTTTGTGTAGTGACAACGATGACCACTGACGTCGGGAATCGTTTTTACTTCGGATATAATGTCCTGTATATTTATAGTATCGTACGTGTAAACGATGCACCGAAGTGTGTTCTACCCTTGTGCCTAGTCATCATTCGGTATCTCAAAAGGTCAAGGAATGTACTGCAAGTCTGAGCTTAAGTTATTTATACTCTGATACATTAAAGGCAGCGGTGAAGGTGTGATCGTACCGGAACCGTGCCGAAGTTGTTTTGGTCGTGGAGCCGAGCATTCGACCGTAAATAAGAAAGTACAAATCCCGCCGGGTGTGGTCAATGGCCAAGAGATTCTGCTAGAAAAGTCTGGCCAGGCGGTTGTAATGCTGCATGGTGAGTGGTGTGTAGCTACTCAGCAGTGTACGCTGTCGATAGTAAGTGACTGCAATGGCTGGTGTGCTTATTCCTTCACGCGCAATGTACCTGACCACATGCTTGTCTACGTGCGATCTGTATACCCATTCTAATATACATCGACCGCTTGTTGTCAGGTGTATGCTTGCATCAGAGGTTTGCGCATATGAGTACATAAAGCACCGTGACACAAAACTTGGTAGGTGAAAATACATTGTAATTTCAGGAGATGTGTGTGCTGGTTTAGCTCTCACACTTGACGTGGACAGAATATTGTCTGAAATGATACGAGATCTCATAGGTGGAAAATCGAGACACACTTTTACCTCTATATATAACGTAGAAGTACCTTTTCTGTTGCGGTTTTGAGTTATTTTTGCTGCAGACTGCGATGACTTGAGTGCGTTCCTTTGCTATGTGAGTGGGTGTTCTCCAACTATGTTATGTTCGTACCTACGCTGGTCATCTCTCTTGTTGTAGTGTGAAGTGTGCATACATGTCTAAATTGAAAGGCAACGGAATAATGATCATATACACCAAGTCCCCATAGCAGGCCACAATATCATTGCTTTTCGCAGCTGGCATAGACATAAAATCTATAGTATTGCGGCGTATAGGCTATCGTCTCACGCCGATCGCATATTAAAAACAGTTGTGGGTGAATGTCTGGGCAAGAAATCGTTTCGTATGATCCATTCTGACATTCAAGCTTCACCCTTATAGTTGATGAGAGTAGCAAGACCTTCAAAAGGAAAGGTATGGACATCTTCTCAACGATCGAAGTGTGTGCGCTGAGAGCGGCTCTTGGGGACGTACCGTGCAACATGGAGACGGTTCACGGAACACACTCGGTCGTGGTAAGTGAGCGTACATGCATATGCTTGGCAAATAAAATTTCGTGTAAACTCGCACACTTCCGGATGTGTATAAGTACATGGATGCGTATAAGTACATAATTTCATGTGTGAATGTATTCGTACGAGACCGGTTTCGAATGAGGAGACTGCTAGATAGGTTAGTCGTGCCCATAGTGCCATGTGTATGTAGTCGACGACTTAAATAAATAAGCATACAGAGGTAGTTGGTAGACGAAGGTGGGGCAGGAGATGATAATGGTGTGTGAACTCATCTCTGTTGGATTGTCCGCTAGTACGCGATTCAGGACAGACGATAGAAATGTCTGAGCAATGCAAACCACATCTCTGCGTGCTCGTACACGCCCAGATCACCTGACATCAGCTTGTTTTTTCAAGGTTAGACCTAGTTTGATTGCAATGTTCACACACTACTACTCGCTTGTATTTAATACAGTTGCCTTCAGGCACGCAGCACGGTGATGAGGTGCGCTTAGCTGGGAAGGGTATTCAAAGTCTGGAAGCTGATATACCGCCAGGCGCCCACGTCGGTGTGGTCAGGATAGTGGTGCCAAGGTAATATATCCGCGCGGATAATGTAGTAGTGTAATGTCAATTGTTTTTCCTATTATCTCACTAACCTACTTTATTATTGGAATGTGTTTGAACTTTACTAATGATATTCTCTGTTGTTTGATTGACAGATTGCTGACGAGCTCTCAGTCTGAACGATTAAAGAAGTTTGATGCTACTTAAATAAAACTCTAAGTGAATAAACTAGTATCCGCCTGAACGGCACTACACAATAATCGAATTCGTGCGTGTCCGTTTGAGAGCTGAGTTTATTGCTGGATCGTTATTCAAGTGCTCCTGTGTAAATGACTGAGAACGGAAACTCAAAATCTATTTATATGTGTAGCCTTTATCTGTGTATTCTTCACGCTACCTTCAGCCATTGCTAGATGACGGTTAGAAAATGACAGGCCCGAACCGCGAATCGTTTTTGAACGTATAAAACATTTAATCGAGTAAAACAAAAATAACTAAACTTATAATCAATCATCGACAGTTTAAAGGAATTGAAAACCCCCTGTGTACTTTGGTACATAGGTCTATGCATACGCCCCCAAGCCTGTAAAATTGTATCAAATATATGATTCCTTTATAGTGCCAATACTGAGCTGCCGAGCGAAATCAACCCGTGTTATCCATTGAGAAACTGTCGTGAGTTTCACGATGTGTGACCATCCCACTCGGCGTGAGCTAAAATTGGGATGCTCTCGCAATACACAATATATATATATATATATGTGTGTGTGTGTGTGTGTGTGTGTGTGTGTGTGTGTGTGTGTGTGTGTGTGTGTGTGTGTTAGTTGTTGTTATAGTAGTATGTATATGTAGTAGTNTAGTNTTAGTAGTAGTTAGTTAGTTAGTTATTAGTTAGTTAGTAAGTTGTTAGT